GGGGGAGATAGGAAAGGAAGGGAAGGGAAAGAAGGAAAGGAAAGAATTGAAGGGGGGGGGGGGTAGGAAAGGAAGGAAGGGAATGAGGGAAGGAATGAAAAGAAGGAAGGAATGAAGGGAAGGAAATAAAGGAAAGAAATTAAGGGGAAGGGATAGGGAAAGAAGGAGGGAAGGAATGAAAAGAAGGAATGAATGAAGGGAGGAAAGGAAAGGAAAGGAAAGAAATTAAGTGGGGGGGGATAGGAAAGGAAGGGAGGGAAGGAAGGAAGGAAGGAAAGGAAAGAAATGAAGGGGGGAAAAGGAAAGGAAGGAGGGAGGGAAGGAATGAAAGGAAGGAAGGAATGAAGGGAAGGAAAGAAAGGAAAAAAATGAGGGGGGGAGGGAAGGAATGAAGGGAGGGAAGGGAAGAAAGAAAAGGAAGAAAGGAAGGAAGAAGTAATGTAAAAAATATTTAAAGCTATCAAGTAAAAATGAGTTTTCACAATGGCATTATGGATTTCATGACACATATGTCCAATATAAATGAATTCCCTTTACTTCTCCATTATAGATTCTGTCTGTGTATGACACCTTCACATGTTGAATTAAACGTGTCTCTGCTATACTTATGTCATCAAATATTTATCCCATCCCTCTGTTCAGACACAATGATATAAATTAAACACAGGATTGAATATAAATGGTTATAAATGTAATATAAACATATAATTAATTCTGGGGTAAATATGTGGATGTCACCAATGCACAGGTAGAGTTCTGTAAATGCTTGTCACTGATATTGTTTGTACATCCAGAAAATCACCATCATTTACAACCCAATAATTGCTGAACAAATCTAAACAGACTGACAATTTAAAGTGAGCTATGGAGCTGTGGAGGATTAAACAGGCCAGTTTTGTCAGCCGGTGCCACTGATTTACATAAAAGTAGGCCCTAACTACTTGAATGATCTTTGATTGTGACTATGCATAAAGACTGATCAGATTTTTATGGCTACAAAAAAAAAAAGTTATTTTTTTTAACTGAAAAAAAAAGTATAATTAATTATTGAATAAATAATAATGCATTAATAGAATATATAATAAAAATTCAATAAATCTGATTCACCTGATACATGTCAGCAAGTGATTACAATGTACATTATATTTTATGATCACACCTATCACTCTGATCTATTAGTCTGAGAAAATGAAAGATTTCACTTTACCAAAATTTTGTTGAATATTTACATGAAAATTGCTGTTAGATAGAAATGCAGTAGAGTCAATATGAAAGGCCAAACTATGGCATTTGGGTAATGTTTAAACCACTTGCCCACTGGATTTACCCCCCTTCCTGACCAGGCCATTTTTTTTTTCTATACGGCGCTGCCAGGGGCGGACTGACAACTCATGGGGCCCCCGGGCAATAGGGGATCATGAAGCCCCTGTATCCTTGCCCACACTCAAAGCACACCCAAAAAAGCCTATAAAAGGTACCAGGGCCATTTCATGGGGCCCCCTAGTGACCCTGGGCCCTCGGGCAGTGCCCGAGTGCTCGAATGGTCAGTCCACCCCTGGGCGCTGCACCACTTTAACTGATAATTGTGCAGTCTTGCAATACTGTACACAAGTGTAATTTTTTTTTTCACACAAATAGAGCTTTCTTTTGGTGGTATTTGATCACCACCATTTTTTTTGCACTATAAACAAAAAAAGACTGAAAATTTAAAAAAAAACAAAAACAAAATAAAAACAATATTTTTTACTTTTTGCAATAAAACATATCCGATAAAATATTAATAATAATAATAATAATAATAAAAAATCTTCATAAATGTAGGTCAAAATTTATTCCGCTACATGTCTTTGGTACAAAAAATTCCCAATAAGTGTATAGTGTCTACAAACAATACTATATAAATTGGAACTTTTTTTTTTATATACTAATAATGGCGGCAATCAGCGACTTATAGTGGGACTGTGTTAATACGCAGGGAATTCTGACACTAGCTGGGAACTGACTAACTTCTACTGACATCTCCAGTGACACTAATACAGTGATCAGTGCTAATAAAAAGTACTGACACTGTACTAATGACACTGGGCAGGAAGGGGTTAAAGTGAGGGGTGATCAAAGGGTTAACTGTGTGACAGGGAGTGTTTTTACTGTGTGCTGCTTTACTAGGGGATGTGCTGGTTTTTAATCTCTGCTTTGCAGCGAGGTAAAAGCTGGCACATCCCCACTGACAGGAGGGAGATCTGTGTGGTTTACATTCACAGATCTCTCTCCTGTCAGTTGCTCTGCCAATCGCCAGGTCCCAGCCATGAATTGCTGGCCGGGACCTAGTGATCAATATGTACAGGAGCCAACGACAGCGCGGGTAGGGGGGGCACTCACGCACCCTACCCAGAAAAGCAGATTCATGTATATATACGTGATTCTGCACAGAGTGGAGGCCCTGTAGCAGTAAAGCTGCTATAGGGCACATGGCAAGCGGTTAAAGAGTGTAATAAACTTTGAATTTCTGCTTTACTCCATCTTTAAATATTCCCTCCTCAGCAGGGAACATGACATTAGACATTGAAAATCCAAGGAACTCAAGCCCTAAATTTTAATTTTCTTTTTTAATTTCGATTTTTTTTTTCTGAAAATTGACAAAAATCTACAAACAAGAAAATTTTTTTTTTTTTGTATATTTTAAAATTGTTCTTTATTTTTTTTCCCCCTGGGTGCTGTATTCGTTCTAGGTACACATTGGGGGTTATTTACTAAAACTGGAGATGCAAAAATCTGGTGCAGCTCTGCATAGAAACCAATCAGCTTCCAGGTTTTATTGCCAAAGCTTCACTGAAGAAGCTGAAGTTAGAAGCTGATTGGCCGCCATGCACAGCTGCACCAGATTCTGAGTGCTCCAGTTTTAGTCAATCACCCCCGTTGCAATAGTAGAGGTTGTCATTGATATGGCTTTGTTTAGCAGAAAAGTCATGTGATCATCATGTCAGCACTGACAGGGAGATCACATGGCTTTGTTTTAAAATAAATAAATAAAAATGAAAGCAATTTATAGAGATTTTATGTATGTAAGATATCTTATTGTTTTCTGAATATTGCTATTCATCCTTGCTGCATATAGTTTGTCATGCTGATCTGTCTTCTATGATATTGCATTTGTCTGCATTTATGATGTGACCTATGTAACGGAACCGACCCCAGACTGCACTTGGGTACTTCCGTTAGACTCCCGCTTCCCCATCCAAACACCAACAACAGACACCACAGCTGAGCATACAAGACTAGACGACACCAATCTTGAAGTAATCCAAAAGGTAGACTACTTTATTTGAACACAGATACAAGATATATACACTCAGGGGACAGTCCCCCCTCCCTGCATAATGGCACAGGGCGGGGCAATCTACATTTAGTAACAAGAGACACACAGGTATTCAAACTTCACACAAGCAGACAGTCCCATCAGGAGGGAGGGCTGCTGGAGACACCCCCCACTAAGCTAATACACATAAACACATACATCCCATAATAGTTTGCTCCCAAACAAGACACACAATAGAACAATGGGATGCAACCTCACAACACCAAACAATCCACAACCCCCACCCCACCTATCTCCTATACATGTCTACACAATATTAGGACAGATCACCCTGTACCCCTAACAGGCACAGGGTGACTTACACATAAGAGGGATATGGGGAGCTAAGACAGGGGTCTCCCCACCTCTCCATAGTGAGCTGGGTTCCATGGGCTCCCCAACCAAACCTAAACAGTTTTATTGAAAAAAAAAAATTAAATCAAATTTCATCTTAGCAGCCCACATGGCAAAATGTGAGGCTAAATCAATTTTAAGGAAAACATTCCACTTGCTAGTGAGGAGCTAATTGTTCTGGGTTCAGTTCGAAGGAAGATCTATGAACCCAATCTGAAAACTGTAAATGCTGAACTTAGCTGTGAAACTCCATTGAAGTCTATGGGAGCCAAATCTTGTAAATTTTTTCTGGACTTTTGTTAAGGCTAATATGACCAAATATGGTCAGGACTAGGTGTGGCCAATGATATCACCCAGCATGTAAGTGACATAAAGCAGATCTTCACTCTGCCCCCTCCCCCCTTAATTTTTTTTAACCCTCCTCTTCCCTTGTTGCCTTCTACACAGTTAAGGTACTCACCTGTCCAGCAAGTCCAGCATTGTCCTGCTGAGATCCGCTTCTCTTCTGCCCCCACTCAGTCCCACAACGCCATCTTCTTCAGTGATGTTATCGGGAAGCTGCCGGCTCTTCCATGTTCTGCCAGCAGCTGTCCGATGACATGCTGCTAGGCCCCGCCCACTCTTCCTTTTTCAATGAAAGACTAATTGGCAGAGCGGGCTGAGTGTACAGGGGCGGTCACAGCTTTAAAGTGTTACTAAACCCTCAACAGTAAAATCAGTCTGTATATGCAGTAAAGCATGCTTGTTATACTCACTGTGGAGCCTAAGGGGTTATCCTCTGCACTGTGTAAAAAGGCTGTTTGATCCTGTCTTCTATGATCCTCCCCCCTTCTTCCACAGTTCTCAATCCATCTGCTGATAGCACAGGGCCTTGGGGGCAAGCTACACATGCTCAGTTTGGTGTGTATCGCTAAAGAGGTTTTTTTTTTTTTTCCTTGGGAGAGTACGTGTGATCAACACAGGGCCAATCAGTGCTGTCCAGACAGAAGGTCAGGGGTCATGCAGCCTCATAGGACAATCAGAGAGGAATGAAAACTTCTACAAGCTTTAACCAGTGCTCAGCTAGACACTGATAGAAGTCACAAGACTGCTATATACTGCTGATGAGAAAAGGTATTTAGCAGTTTATATTTACTAAAATATTTGCATTTCTATGTTGTGTGTACTGTGGGAGACCGGATATAGTGAATGCAGGGTCCGGGGAGACCAGATATAGTGAATGCAGGGTCCAGGGAGACCGGATATAGTGAATGCAGGGTCCTGGGAGAACGGATCTAGTGAATGCAGGGTCCGGGAGAACGGATATAGTGAATGCAGGGTCCGGGGAGAGCGGATATAGTGAATGCAGGGTCTGGGGAGAGCGGATATAGTGAATGCAGGGTCCGGGGAGACCAGATATAGTGAATGCAGGGTCCAGGGAGACCGGATATAGTGAATGCAGGGTCCTGGGAGAACGGATCTAGTGAATGCAGGGTCCGGGGAGAACGGATATAGTGAATGCAGGGTCCGGGGAGAGCGGATATAGTGAATGCAGGGTCTGGGGAGAGCGGATATAGTGAATGCAGGGTCCGGGGAGACCAGATATAGTGAATGCAGGGTCTGGGGAGACCGGATATAGTGAATGCAGGGTCTGGGGAGAGCAAATATAATGAATGCAGGGTCCGGGGAGACCAGATATAGTGAATGCAGGGTCCAGGGAGAGCGGATATAGTAAATGCAGGGTCCGGGGAGAGCGGATATAGTGAATGCAGGGTCTGGGGAGACCAGATATAGTGAATGCAGGGTCTGGGGAGAGCGGATATAGTGAATGCAGGGTCCAGGGAGAGCGGATATAGTGAATGCGGGGTTCGGGGAGACCATATAGTGAATGCAGGGTCCGGGGAGACCAGATATATTGAATGCGGGGTCCGGGGAGAGCGCATATAGTGAATGCAGGGTCCGGGGAGACCGGATATAGTGAATGCAGGGTCCGGGGAGACCGGATATAGTGAATGCGGGGTCCGGGGAGACCGGATATAGTGAATGCAGGGTCCGGGGAGACCGGATATAGTGAATGCGGGGTCTGGGGAGACCGGATATAGTGAATGCAGGGTTTGGAGAGACCGGATATAGTGAATGCGGGGTCCGAAGAGACCGGATATAGTGAATGCAGGGTCTGGGGAGAGCAGATATAGTGAATACAGGGTCCGGGGGGACCAGATATAGTGAATGCAGGGTCCAGGGAGACCTGATATAGTGAATGCGGGGTCTGGGGAGACCGGATATAGTGAATGCAGGGTTTGGAGAGACCGGATATAGTGAATGCGGGGTCCGAAGAGACCGGATATAGTGAATGCAGGGTCTGGGGAGACCAGATATAGTGAATACAGGGTCCGGGGAGACCAGATATAGTGAATGCAGGGTCCAGGGAGACCTGATATAGTGAATGCAGGGTCTGGGGAGAGCGGATATAGTGAATGCAGGGTCTGGGGAGACCATATATATATATAATGCAGGGTCTGGGGTTTTTAATGCTAAATTGTGGATCTTTTCTAGAAAATTATACTGTTGCCGTAAATATTGTATTTATACTATTGCTATATACAGTATAATATATATATATAGTGTATTGACATTTCAGAAATGTAATAATGTTAACTTGAAATGATACCAAAAGATTCACTTTAAGGGGAAACGTTCACGGCTTTAGGACTGTTTCATTTGTAATTTTCTCCATTATATATATATATATATATAGCTATGAATGATCCTTTGAGCACTGTGTGTATTCTAAAGAGACAACATACATACACTGTAGCTGTAATCATCTATTTTTTGACAGACTGGCTCTCAGAGACTTGTATCTCATAAGCTTCGGTTCGAACAATGAACCGCATGTGAATGTCATGGGAACTGCCCCACATTCCTGTGCAATTCACATGCAATTCACATGCAATTTAATGCAGTGCGATTTGAGCCCATTCATTTTGAATGGATTCAAATTGCACCACATCTCACCAAAGATGTGCATGCATGAACTTTGGAACTGCACTGCAACCGGATCGCATGGTCATTTTGCACCCTGCACTGCATTTGCGACCTGTATTTGGGGTGTTGTTAAGATTGCACTGACACCTGCTGCAGATTGCAAGGGCATAGGCCCTTCACTACCTTTATACTGCAAGAGAGAGAAACAGGGAAATGAACCAATCAGCCCATGTGCTAAGAAGAAGCATGCTGATATTAGCAGAGATCAGAGTGAGAGAGAGATGAGCTCATCACTGTGCTGCTGCTTCTTCTTGATTGTTGAGTTACAGGCTGGAGGTGGGTCCATGACAGCCTGGGTTCTGAGGAAGTGGGCTGACTATCCTCCAGACTGGAAGACTGGGGACATCTAATGGTGGAAAAAAGGACTACGGGTGGAAGGTGAGTACTGCAGCAAATGCTGCTTTTTGGTTTTATACAACAGAAAGCTATTATTTCTTATTTTATGACAGGAGCTCTGATGTAAAATCCACCCATGTTATAGCAAAGCCATTTTTTTTTTTTACTGGATACAATCTATGCATTACATATTGCGTGTCTGTAAAGACATCAAGCTTGTCAATCTCTCCCAAGATCTATTGACTCCTGCAAGGACATTCATTACAATAACCATCAAGGTGGGCCTATATTGTGAACCGATTCCGTGCAAAATGAATGCATTGCTCTTTGCAGGAAACAAATGCATTTGTGTGAAGCAGCCGTTCCTGATATTGGAATAGCATGTAATATGACCTTTCCTGGTACTGCTCACAGCGTGTGGCTACAATAACTCGCCTCGATGCCCTCAATCTTCCCATTACAGCCTTATTGCATTTACACCGGCTACAGTCCCATCGCTTCCATTGTTATTTCATCGTATGTGTCCTGTGGAAACATTTGGAGATAAATGCAAATGATAAAAAAAGAATCATTTCTATTGTTTAAAAAAAGTAGTCGATTGTATAATTGTATATATATATATATATATGTATATAATATATATATATATATATATATATGGTATATATACATATATATTTTATTCATATATATATATATGTATGTATGTATATATATGTATATATATATATACATATATATATAGTGAAGGAAATAAGTATTTGATCCTCTGCTGATTTTGAATGTTCGCCCACTCACAAAGAAATGATCAGTCTAAAAATCAAATGGTAGGTGTATTGTAACACTGAGAGACAGAATAGCAACACAATCTATCTATCTATCTATCTATCTATCTATCTATCTATCTATCTATCTATCTATCTATCTATCTATCTATCTATCTATCTATCTATCTATCTATCACCCATCTATTATCTATCTATCTATCTATTCTATCTATCTATCTATCTATCTATCTATCTATCTATCTATTTATCTATCTATCTATCTATCTATCTATCTATCTATCTATCTATCTATCTATTATCTATTATCTATCTATCTATCTATCTATCATATCTATCTATCTATCTATCTATCTATCTATCTATCTATCTATCTATCTACATATCTATCTATCTAACTATTATCTATCTATCTATCTATCTATCTACATATTATCTATCTATCTATCTATCTATCTATCTATCTAACTATCTATCTATCTATTATCTATCTATCTATCTATCTATCTATCTATCTATCTATCTCTATCTATCTATCTCTCTATCTAAGTATCTATCTATCTATCTAAGTATCTATCTATAATCTATCTATCTATCTATCTATCTATCTATCTATCTATCTATCTATCTATCTATCTATTATCTATCTATCTATCTATATCTATCTATCTATCTATCTATCTATTATCTATCTATCTATCTATCTATTATCTATCTATCTATTATCTATCTATCTATCTATCTATCTATCTATCTATTATCTATCTATCTATCTATCTATCTATCTATCTATCTATCCATATATCTATCTATTATCTATCTATCTATCTATCTATCTATCTATCTATCTATCTATCTATCTATCTATCTATCTATCTATCTATCCCCTATATCTATCTATCTATCTATCTATCTATCTATCTATCTATCTATCTATCTATCTATCTATCTATCTATCTATCTATCTATCTATCTATCTATCTATCTATCTATCTATCTCTATCCTCTATAATCTATCTATATATCTACAGTGAAGGAAATGCGCATTTGCTCCTCTGCTGATTTTGAATGTTTGCCCACTCACAAAGAAATGATCGGTCTAAAAATCGAATTTTCGGTGTATTGTAACACTGAGAGACAGAATACAACAAAAATTCAGCAGAAATGCGTCTAACAAATGATGACTGATCTGCATGTTCAGGAGGGAAATAAGTATTTGATCCCCTATCATTCAGCGGGATTTCTGGCTACCAGGTGCCTTTCATAGAGGTAACAAGCTGAGATTAGAAGCAGTCTCTTAAAGGGAGTGCTGCTAATCTCATTGTTTTACCTGTATAAACGACACCTGTCCACAGGAGCAATCAAACAATCAGATTCCAAACTCTCCACCACGGCAAAGACCAAAGAGCTGTCCAAGGATGCCATGGACAAAATTGTAGACCTACACAAGGCTGGACTGGGCTGCCAAACTATTGCCAAGTTTTATTTGTTTATTGAATGGGCAGGAAATTTAGCAGCTCTTTACTTTTTTATATATACTGTATATATTTTATATATATTTATAAGTATATATAGCTCATATTAATTATGAAATATTTTAATTCAGCCAACACATAGCACTTTGGATTTTCTTCCACATGTTCTCTAGTTTCTCCTTTACCTGCCTCTAGGTGGATAAAATTGCGAATGAAAATTTGTAGGCAATGTGTGTGTATATATATATATATATATATATATATATATATATATAATTTTTTCGTTTTTTTAATATAGAATATGGCCACAATTGTAGTATTTCAAATATATGTCAATATATTTGACATATATATTATTATAGATAAAATAGTCAATTTTTGACAGAAAAAAATACAACAAAGCTACAAAAGATTCAGAGCTTGTCAGCTACCTATTGTGCCCAAAACAAACTGTTATTAATAGAGAATCGTTTAAGCCTCTCAGGACTAACAAGGACTGGAAGAAATTAGTAGATCAAGTGAGATATGTACTTAAAGAAGGAACTTTCAAAGGAGCGTAATAGGGAATCTGCTTATATGAATATGTATAACCTGGTACCTAAGTTTCCAGCAAAATAGCATTTTATTGTAGCAATAAGTAATTAAATTTCTATCAATATATTTATATATTTAAAAAATATATTTCAAATATATTTTTCTTCCATGTGGGCAGGCGGATCAAGCCTGTGTTTTAGTTACACAATTAAAAGCAATCATTTCTCTTTCTCTCTGGCTGCATTCTTGCAGCCATTGAGAAATACTATGAGATCTGTGATTGGTCACAGCTTGTCACATGGTACAAGGCTGTTGTGAATAGCCCTGTACCATGTGATCTCTGTGATCATTCACAGATTTCACACATAGTAAGCAATGATGTCAGAAGTGACATCCTTGCTTACTACTATTCATGTGATCACTGATTGGCAAATCAGGCATCGGATCGTGGTGCCGCGCTCTCCCAGGGAGCCCGCACAGGCTAAAATGGCGGGCGCCGTTTATGAACGGAAACCTGCTCCTGCACTGCTCCCGCGCGGCCGTTTATATACATGGGCCAGATGGGAAGTGGTTAAAGGGTGCCTTGACTAAAAAAAGGTTGAGAAACACTGCCCTGGGTGATGCCTGAACAAAGATGGCCGGTCAAAAGCAGATGAAGGCATTGTCAAGGGGCGTACTGTGATCTTAAATACCTGGAAGTGCTACTTAGAACACAAGCACTTATCAAAACATACATCTGCTTTAAAGTATTTTTGCATTCAAATTAACATGACATTTTATTCTGGCCTCCTGTGATCAGTTGTTTGTTTGTAAGAAGATTTTGATCAGAAATTTAATTACTTATTGCTACAATAAAATGCTATTTTGCTGGAAACTTAGGTAC